CTGAGATAAGAGCAAAAAACTGAAGATTTTAATGTTTTTACGTCTTGTATATTGAAAACGGAAGCCCAGAGAAAAATTTCGTGAAGGTAAAATAGTTCTCTTTTTTTATGAGGAATCTACAGTTTTTCGTTGTGTTGTGTATTTGTTAACACACTGTATATCACATACACATACAGTGTTGATGGCTTTTGATAATAGGGTGGAAGAGGGGTGGGATGGATGCTACAAAATCAGACAACTATCTGATCGTGTTCAGGAAGGTATTTGACATCAATATCAAGAAACGAATCTTGCAAACATCAATTCCTGACCTCTAAGTTGGAATTTGAATTACATTTATAAGAGGTTGGAAAAGGGGTGGAATGGATGCTACAAAATCAGACAACTATCTGATCTTGTTAAGTGAAGTGTTTTCTTTTCTTTTTTTTTTTTTTTTGGATGTATGATAAATTGGACATGGAAAGAAATTCTGAATTGAGAAAACCTAATCACGAATCTGCAATTGAGGTCTATAGAAATAATAAGCTTCCATCGTTCAAGTTTGAACCACTGTATTGGGTGAAAGTATTGAAAAGAAATATTCTCAGATATAATTATGAACACAAAAAAAATGGGCATTGTATATCCTCTGTTTCGTTTTAAATGGTGAACCCTCTGTATATCTGCATCTATTAAGTGTACGTTAAACTCTTTGAAAAGATGACTATACAGAATCCGGTAATACCTGTCATTATTTTTTACGATTTGTGTGTGGAAAAATTCGAGGCGCTTGAGTAGTGAATTTCTCTCAAATAAAAAGAGGAAAATGAGAAAGTGAAATTGAATATCTATCAGTAATACCGCATTGAATTTCGGGCTGAGACAAATTCATTAGTTATTGACGCGCATTCTAACGGTACCGGTACAACCTACCATAGAAAGTTTGAGAACGTGTGAAAAATATCACATTTTCGGTAATCCTTCATTGATTGAAGGTCATTTACAGTAAATCGGAAAGCGAATACTTGATAATACTATCACAAGTCACGAATATCACAAGAAATCACTCGCACTTATTTTCAAATCTATATAAACATACAAGGTGTTTCCTAATTGAATGTCAATATTTGTAGACAGTTGATCAAAAGTTGAGATAGGGACATGTGAGCCGTTTTGACCAATTATGAATGGTTTAGACACAAAAAATTCTTGAACTTGGAAAATCTCGATTTCTCACACCCTATATCTCAGTAATTATAACTGCTAGACCCCAAGTATGATGGATTGTTGAAATCAGCTCACCAGGGAGAATCTCAAAATAAAATAATATATAGGGTGTTCGATTGAAAAAAATTCAACTTCAGTGTTTTGAGATTATTGGGGACATCCTGTATGTTTCAAAATAATTTCAAATGGTAGCCCATGTTGACATGCAACTTCCTAGAGAGGAAGAATTCCAAGAAGATAAGTGGTTAGCCTTCTAGAGACCGAGGCGTTACTGGTGGCCCACCCTGTAGAATGTTCTTCTGAAAATGGGCCCAAGAACCGCCTCCTCAAATATTGATATTCAATTATGAAACACCCTGTATGAAAGGAAGTCCAAAATTCCTTTCATACATACATTCCTTTGTCAAAATTAGGAAATTCAAGATGACCTATCCAATATGGCGGACGAGTTTTGTAATTATACTTCGATTCTATTCAAAATTGGCATCTAAGGGTATACGGGGTCGTAGATTAAGATTCTTTCGCCAAAATTTAGAAATTTTGGCGGAATTTGGGAATTCAATATGGCGGGATCCAATATGGCGGACGACTTTTATAATTATAATTCGATTCTATTTAGGATTGGTACCTAGATCTCTGCTAGTGGTTTTCGTGATCGTGGATTGTAATTCCTTCGTCAAAATTAGGAAATTCAAGATGGCGGATCCAATTTGGTGGACGCGATAGTTTTGCAATTATGATCCAATTCTATTCAAAATTTTCAATTGCGGTTTTAGGAGTCGGAGATTATGATTCTTTCGTCAAAATTGGGAAATTCAACTAAACTAAGGAGTAGATAAACTGAAGAAACACGCTATTTTAGATAGCCAAACTAAAAAGAAGTAGAGAATAAAATAATAATATAGTGTATTGATGAATATTCTACTGAGAAAATATTTTCTAGAAATAGTTATTTGTTTATCTAGGCAGCAAAGTAGTAGATTGACTGCCGTGGCTGAATTCATAGCCGAGCGTAGCGAGGCTAGGGATCCAGCTAAGGCAGTCAATCTACTTTGCTGCCGAGTTGAACATATAATTTTTTCTCCGATTGTTCATAATGATATGGGAGAATATTGTATTTGCGAATTAATACAATTCCCACAATCTCTTTATTCTACCTATATAGTATTCAATTAAAATAAAATTTGATAGAAATCGCAGTTGTTGGTTTGACAATTCATGAAATTTCTGACTGTTGTGCGAAAAAATATCGGTATATTTAAATTATTATATAATGGACAGTGATAGCGACCTGGAAGTATACTTACACCTCCATCAATAAGAGAGGTGGCAAAAAATATAGAGTTGAATTTGTTGCCGGAGAAGTCTCGGATGAAATATGAAGGAAATTATAAACGATTTATGGATTTTTAATTTTGCTGATACATATCAATCAGCAAAGTAACCACTTTGCTGCCTAGGCAGGAAAAGTAATACTTTGCTGATTGATATGTGTCAGCAAAATTAATATTTGCTGCCAGTCGAAGGAAAAAAAATTTATATAGCAAAACAACGTTTGCGGGTGGGCTAGTTATTTATAAATGAGAAAAATATCGGAACATTATTTTTTGCATTTGTGCATTTGTGTAGAGTACATAATGACGATCGATAAGAGCACGCTATTTAAACATTGATTCACTACGTTGTACATACCTTTACCTATAGGTATATAGTATGTATTGTATAGGGTATAGGTAATTAGCATCTGTACAGATGTTAAAACAAATAATAATCTTAACCTTCGATTGTATCTGATTCAATCGAATGATGACTTCACCAGATTGATTATTTATTACCTAGTAGTGATGGAATTTTGTGCACAATGTTTTGTAGAACCATAGATATCCATTATACCGGGTGAGCCATAGCCGAGGGGTAAATCTCCAGGAAAAATGTGCACACCAGACTTCCAATGAACAAAGACTTCCAAAGACTTCCAAAGACTCCCAAAGACTTCCAAAGACTTTCAAAGTCTTCCAAGGACTTCCAAAGAATTCCAGAGACTTCCAACGGAGTGTACACCAGACTTCCAAAGAGATTTACCCCTCGCCCACAGCTCCATTGTATATATTCCTGTTTCTGTTCCATGCAATATCTTTATTTCTGGAGATACACATTTCAAATTTTCATGTTCCGATATAAATACTAGCAAAATAAAAATCAGAAATCACTCCCAGTTTTCATTTCAAATGGCACCCATTTTTTCTTTCCATATATTATACTGAGAATGATGAAAATGAAAGGAAAATCAAATTTACTAGCTCAAATTTACTCCGCAGTTCTTTTGATTCGTTGAATTTAAAATATTCAGTTAAATTCGAAGTAATTTTGTGTAGAATTCAGAGGATGAAAGTATTCAACCAGGATTGCCATACAAGCTAGGAAAATTCCGGGATGAATGTCCTTGACTCATTTCTGAAATTAATATGAGTTATTGTTGGAACAGACTGTTGAGACACCCTATATATCAATTAGAAAATGTTCCATCAGACTTGATAATTTTACTATATACTTACCTACCTATACGTTGAAAAATCCATATACTCAAGGAGGATTGATTTTTCAAATATTTTGACTAAAGCATCTGCGGGTAAATAAAGCAATATGGAATATGAAGGTGACCAAAAAAAAAATTTAAAAATAAATGTTAATTTAGAGAACCTATACATACCTACTTTATCTACATATTTAAACTATATTATTACATTTCTATTTCCAAGAAAGCTAAAATGTAGATATATATGAGGTTATTGCATAAATTGTACATTATACTTATAATTACGCAGTTGGGTATAATTTTGAACAAATTATTACTAAATTATGATAGGTATGTGAGATATAATCAAAATATATCGGAATTTAATTAATTCTTGAGGCTTATAATAATACTATGGCGCATTTTCATTCTAAAATACAGGGTTTCCGAGAACAACGTACCATAAATTCTGAGAGGACGTTGAAGAATAATTTTTTCACAGATTTTCTTTAATATTTAAAAATCCTTCAAAGGTGCCTACTGCTCTGAAATTTGTAGGGCAATTTACTATCGTGAATGTGCATGAAAATCATGTCATATATATACAGGGTCAGGGAGATAGATATTTCGCATTCTCTTTGATGAAAATTGATATAATTTCTTTGGAGTACAAAATCAATTATCTAACCACAATGATCATGTTTATGAACTAGGTAGGTACTTTAGCATATGATAAGGTTGTTGGTCATCTACAAATTACTTTTTTTTTTCTCGAAAAAAGTTGTTTGCGAGACGAAAAAAACATTGGAAACGACCAGCTCCCAGATTATATGATGATGAACTTTCCTGTTAAAAACTCCAAATTTCGTCGTTTTAGCTCACTGGAGCTAAAATCTACTACTTTTTTCCCTTGTATAATAAATAACTATCTTCAACGCCCTCTTACGGCTCAACGGTGCATTCACCTTGATTTCTATCAGTCTAATTTGATGGTGTCTTGTTATCCCTGTAGAATTTATGGTACGTTGTTCTGGGACACCTTGTATAGATAAATGCGAGGATAAATGTATTCACTCATATTTATGCAATTTAGAACAATACTTGCAATCAGTGAAAATGGTAGTAAAAATTAATACTTCATCGATGGTGGAAAAATGTGATAAGTAGTTTGAATGGATTAATACTGGATATGAAGCAGGGGCCTACTGTAGGTAAGTGACTAATAATTAAAAGCTAAATAATACAGTGCAGAAGAAGAAGAAGAATTAGAAAAAATAAATAACAATAACCTCACTTTTTGGTATCGTGATACCGATAATGTTTTTTCGTTTTTCATTTAAAATTTGTGATTTCTAACTACTCTAACGATGGTTTATTATTTTGAAAGTGATGTTGTTTCGCCTCCAATTACACTGTTCATGGGATTCGACAAAAACGAAAGTAATTAAGGATATTACATTTTCATCAGAAACAGCATTAAACAATTTCATTATCTCCTCTTTTTCAGATGAGGATCTCATTAAATGGGGTTGGCCTGAGGACGTTTGGTTCCATGTTGACAAAGTTTCTTCAGCCCACGTATATCTCAGGCTAGGACAAGTAAGTTAAACATGCCATGCAGGTTCTCAATTTCTGTATTTAAATGTGGATACTGCATAGGATAGATCATGAATTCATATTCAATTCCTTGACATTTTTTAACTCTTCTAGGGACAGACTATAGATGACATTCCTAGCAATGTCTTAGAAGATGCTGCACAACTGGTGAAAGCCAACAGTATCATGGGGAACAAAATGAATGATGTGGATATTGTGTACACAATGTGGGCCAATTTGAAGAAGACCCCTGGCATGGAAGTGGGACAAGTAGGCTTCCACAAGGAGAAGGATGTGAGGAAAATGCGGGTGGCCAAAAGAATAAATGAGATCATGAATAGGCTGAATAAAACTAAGAGAGAAGAACATCCAGGTAACAATCCAAAGTATTGTGATAGGTGTTTATTATTGTTTTGGGTCTTACAGACTTCAGGGCTGAAAGAGAGAAGAGAGATAGGCTAGAGAGGGATGACAAGAAAAAGTTGCTTAGGGAGAAGAAGAGGAAAGAAGAGGAGGTGGAAAAAAAGAGGAAAGAGGAGGCTGAACTTCGAAGTTATAATTCCCTGATGAGTGGAGAGAACATGTCAAAATATGATGATGGCAATGATTCAGATGAGTTTATGTAAGCATACCAAATCTTCCACCTTTTTTTAGGTGGACGTCCACCTAAATGACATCGTTCCAAACATTTCAATGCTGTTTTTTTTTTATCAAAATCATGTAAATATCTTGAAAAATATAACATTTATTATTATTAGTAGCAATTCCCATGTTTTTGAACTTGAGAATTTTTGTTAACACCAAAATCTGATACTATCCCAACATCCTGGCTGAAAGAAATACTGGAAAAGTAAGAAAACTTTTTTCTGCATTTTCTTGCTTACCAGGATATCCAAATGAATAAATTAACATAAAAACCATATTGAAAATTAATAAATTGATATTTCTGAATTAAATTTGGAAGTAGCTACATTTTTGAAATTTTTTTGTAGTAGGTATAACCATTCAACTTCCAAAACTCAAAATACCTATAAAATTCAAAAAATAAAACTTTCAGTCTATGCCTGAAACCTTCAAATTTTTCATGGAATATGTTATAATGTATAGAACTTTTTGATAAGTGTGACCAATTCAATTATTTTGATTCAAGTCCATTACACAAGGTCCACTCTGTATTAATGCATCAGCACAAAAAATACTAATAGTGCAGCTGTTGAGAAGCCCATTAAAACAGTTCATGATTCTTCAACAGAATTTAATAATTTTTGGTTTACTCTCATGAAAAATATAAGAAAAGAGTGAAATCATTAGAAATTATGATATATTAGAATTTTTATGTGTTCCATAAGGTCCGAATGAAATGGTTTCTTTGATTGGAAAATAAGTTGGGTACTAAAACTAGAAATAATTCTTAACATTTATAATATTTCAAAAATTCAAATATTGTATAAAAATGCATCTTTGGTTGAAATGATACTGACAATTAAATTAGTTGGTCCTTTGCTACCTAAATGAAGAAAAACAAAGTGAATCAACAATAACAATTATTTTTTATTATTCACACTGTAAATGTGAAAATCTTCACAAAAAATTAGATTTCCACAAAATTTTTAATAACATGTTTCTCTAACATGGTAGTTTCTTCAAGTGAAATACTCCTACAATGAATGATTAATATTAGTCAAGTAAAACGGTTTAACCTTATGCAAACCATAACAGTTTTCATGACAATTTAGAAAATTCTCATGTAAAACTTCATCATTCATCAATCATTTGGAATCATTAGAAATCAACAAACGCAAAAATTTCAACTTTTTACTTAGTGATCGTCGAGACCTCATCACGCTTTTGAATTCGTTTTCTAAGTAGTTGATATTTGTATTTGTATTGTATTGGTATGTATATGGATTAGCTTGCTCCCAAGCAGGGTTGGTATGTAATAATTGAAATGACTTTTTTGAATAATTCATGAATCAATTCAAAATCACAACCATGGGAACAAATCATATTATTTCATTTGACTAGTTTAAACTGATGTATCCAATAACCGTGAGCCGCTTTACAGTTTCCAATTTTTCATTGCATGCCATTGATTGCTCCAATTTATATTTCCGGCAAAAATAATATATAGGCTATTCAACACTGAATCGGAATTACCGGCTTGCAATGTCTTTCTGTCATAAATTCTGTGTATACATACTTCATATCGGGTTTGAGTTACATAAATATAATGCATGAAATTCCGAAAATCATTTTATCATCAGAATCCTACCAGCAATATAAATTGCCGCAATATAAACAGGTCCGGAACTGATTCTTGCAATGCAACGAAAATTGCTGTCCAAAATGACACTAATGCGTAGGTGCGCAATGATTATTTCTGCATTTTTTTCGAAAAATTGCAAACTGAAACGCCACGTTTTTGTATCTTGTTTAGGTAAATTTCGCTTGAATTAATTCAAAAAAGTACGAATAGTTCCAAAAGTAGGACTTCTTTGACTTTTTCATAAAAGTCATGACTTTTTCCAACACTGTTTGGCAAGTAGTTAATATTTGCATCAGTTATTTCGTCACCCCAAATTTCAATAATGTAGATATTGTTATACCTTCCGACATAAAGGAGTTGCTGGCAAGTAATTCGAATTCCTAATAAGTATGTGTAAATTCATTTCACTTTGAAGAAACCACGACTGTGTTAGCAAAACATGTTTTTTTTTTTTGAGAAATATGTGGAAATCCGGTCGTTCATGAAGTTTTCCACCCTAACAACCATCACAACAAATCGATATTAACGGCGCTCAGGGACTCCCGTATCCAGCTGGGATAATCCCGATCTGGGTGCAAATCCAACATGAATTTCCTCACAAACTCCGGAAACCTTTCTTCCCTCACGCTGTCCCTGATGCCTCGCATGAGCCGCATCTGGAAAGCGAGGTTATGTTCGGTGAGCAGCGTGCACGCTACCGGCAAATCGGAGACTATTCCGTGCAAAAAGGCCCTGGTGTAGGTTCGACACGTGTGGCAAGAGCAGTCTTTGTCGATGGGCGCGAAGTCTTTGGCGTACTCGGGTTTTCTCAGGGAGATTTGGCCTGTCATCGTTAGGGCGCAACCGAATCGCTGGAAAATAGTTATTTATGTACCAAAAGGGGCCTTGATTACCGATGGCAAAGTTTGCCTGGGGTTATTGAGGCTCATCGATGGGGAAGTTTCTTTCAGATGAATTGTCATAAAATAAGTTTGGAACTCTCCAGTTTTATGTCCATGACCGATAAAGTCCAAGTCGTTTTCATTTTCAAATTAACGCAATTTGTAATTTTCGGGGTGGCAAACTGTGACGTACATTCTGAATCTAGTCTAAACATAGTGAAGACTATAGCTAGTGAATAGCTAACGAATGAAAATCGAATGAAAAGAATAGAAGAAGAAGTAAAACTGGTAAACATACATAACCACAAATGCACTCGGAGCAGGAATGCAGAGGGTAGTTGGCTTCATTCTGACAGGTTATGGTTTTGTTATTCAAACAATGAAATATCTCGAATAGAGCTCGATCCCAAACGAGAATGCATTGCTGATGATACAATTTTATTAGAGAAATATAGTGATGTAGATTTTCTGGAAGTAGCAATAAGTGGAGCGGAGAGCTGAGATATGGTTTGCGTCAAATCATCTCAAATTGAATAGAGATAAAACCGAAAAACTTCGTGATTCAACAGATAATAAAATCTGCAGAGGGAAAAATATGAGCTTGTTACGCATAATTATTGATGATGACCTGAAATGGACTGAACATATTGACCAGTTGAGGCCAAACTTTCCACTCAACTATTTTTGCTAATGCAATTAAAAATAGTTTTGAACCCAACCATCTTATTTATGGCATATTTTTCCCTATTTCAATCTCGACTCACTTATGGAATTCTTTTGTGGGGCAACTCAAGCCAATCAATGAGAATTTTTCCATATTTCCCAATCAACTATTCACTTTTAGTGAATGAGTCCCGGCGGTATGTTTTTTAATCTCTCCGATATAAAAATATGCAACAGCACAAATTGGGACAGCTGATCTGTCATATATTTTCTTCTTATTTTATCATTACCAAAAAAATATACAAAATATCGAAAAAAAAAAAAATCGGGCGTTTTGTTTATTATTCTATTTTTAAACTGAGGACTTTCTTTGTACTCAAGTTGTGAAAAGAATTTTCAACGTTAAACGTTAGTGATTATTTCGGTCATTTTCAAACCAGAATTTTGACATTTTCAACCAAAAGAAATTGAATTAACCATGAAGATAGTGGATCATCTATTTGCCTAATAATTTTGTTATTATTGACTCATAGTCTAATAATTTCTTTTCTTGGACTTTTTCCACAAATCATATGCAAACCCTGAGCTCAAGAAAATTGTTCTTTTATGGGGATATAAAAAATTATTGACTGAAAATTCCATTGTAATTAACAAATAATCAGCAATAGGTAATTTTTTTTCTTCAATGATTTCAAGCAATCCATATTTGGCACATAATGTTCTATAAGAACACATCTCTCATTTCTATAAAAAATATTGGTTGATTCAGTATGTATGCAAAAATAGGTTTGAATAGAACTTACTGCTGTTCTTGTTGGAAAAACACAATCAAACATATCAACACCTAGGGCAGAACAAACTACCAAATCTATTGCAAACCCTACACCCATAAGATACCTTGGTTTACCCTTTGGTAATAGGTCTGTGCATAAATGAACAATTTTCCAAAAATCGTCTTTACTCTCCCCACCACTGAAAATAATTTCATGGATTAATAATAATGAAATAAATTCCTGTTGGTTATTTTGAAATTGGGGTTAAGAAGTACCTCAAACCTCCAATAGCATATCCATTCACATCTCTTTTGACTAGATCAGCTGCACTTCTTCTTCTCAAGTCCTCATACAAAGTTCCTTGAACAATGGAAAATACATTTTGAGTCTCTGGATTGGCATGAGCTTCTATACATCTGTCCAGCCACCTTGTTGTCCTGTGCACTGACTCTTTTATCCTATCATAATCAGGGGAAGTAGTTGTTATCACATCATCTAGCTGCATTATTATATCAGCACCTATGGCATTCTGTATTTCTACTGAATGTTCAGGGGTCAACATAACTTCCCCTTTATGTTCATTCAGAGATTGAAATTTGACACCTTCTTCTGTGATTTCTGCTAGCTTCAGTAGGGACACCATCTGAAATCCTCCTGAATCAGTGAGGAGTGGTTTGTCCCAGTTCATGAATTTGTGTAGACCGCCGGCTCTTTTCAAGATTTCAGGGCCCTAAAATAGGTTTCCAGTGTTGGTATAATTCTCCAGGACCTAGCATATCTGTTATAAGGGTTCTTACAGGATTTGTTCCCAAATGGTATGTGTTGGCTAGCATTATTTGAAGCCCCATATTATCTAGTTGTTCTGGTAGCATACTTTTGAGGGTTCCCTGGCAAAATCAATTTGGAGTGAAAACAAATGTGCTGGTAAATTATTCAATTACGTACTTGTGTTCCCACTGGCATGAAAACTGGTGTATCTACAACACCATGCGGCAAAACCATTTTACCTACTCTGGCTTTAGTGGTTTTGCATTCTGATGTAATGTCGAATAAAAGTGGATTTCTATTCACCAGCATTTTCAAAACATTGTGCCCAAGTGACCTAGTGTTAGTGTAGTGAGCAAATTTTAAAATATAGGGTTATGGTTATGTTATGTTAAGGATGGATGAAATTGAAGAAACCTGTAATCCAATGATTGGTAGAACTGCATAGAAATACAAATGACGGCTAAATATCTAGACTGTCTGACGATAACCCGTCAGACAGTCTAGATATTTAGCCGTCATTGGTACTAGAGACATCTATCTTTTAGTGCATAAGTTCGCAGGAAATTTGATGACCAATGGCGTGCCTGGGAAAGTCTGTACAGATTTTGCCATCTAACGGTTGATACAGGAAGATGCGCTACATCTGCAGGCGCCGATCTTCTGACGTGTTTGTCACTAATGTCACTTGTTAACAGTCAGTGTTAAAATATCGTTATTTTTGTTTTGCTTTTCAAACTATATTCACAACGACGTTATTTTGATTTTCGAAGCTGTATTTTGATAAATACTGTCTGTTCTGTATTTTGATGATTATATACGCTGGCTTTTACAATTTTTGATCACAATGAATTCGACAACTAGCGATTATACCGAAATGAATAGGACTTCCCTAGAAAATAATTTCCATTATAGATGTTCTTTGAGTTCAGTGAAGAAAAAACCCTATTTGCCAAGGAAAATTCTCAAATTGGCCCCACTGAACCTGAAGGAAATCAAGAAGGAACTTGAAGAAGCCGATAGAAATGGTGATTCTGAAAGCAAATACAGTTCTGAAAGGGAACCCAAAGATGTGAAGGATAGTGCTGAGAAAGTTCTCAAGGATATATCCAACCATTTACAGGAGAAATTTGATGATATATCTGAAATAAGCATGGAAAATGAGAATAAGACTAGTTTGAGTGTTATAATGAAACCTGATGTAGAATTGCAGAAAGAAAATGAAGTGATTTCTTCTGGAACTTCAACTAGTTCTCAGGATAATCATTGTTCTGATTCCACTCATGCTCATGTAGTATTCAAATCCCAGAACAATGACAGTTTTGACATGGATTTTTCAGCTCTATCTCTCAAAACTCCAGTGAAAGCAGTGGAAAGAACATGCTCAACTCCAATAGTTTGCCAAGACAGTGAAACTGCCAAATTCAATAAACAAGGAACTGTGAGTGTGAATCAAAAACTTGGCATGAAACAAAAATACCTGGAAAAATACTCTATGCCTAAAAATCAGTTTGTTACTCCCATAAATCTCATGAGGAAATCAAGTGCTAAATTCAGCACACCATATCTTGATAACATGAAAAATATATCAGAAAGTGCTAAGAAAAACATTGTGTGTTCTATTCCAAAAACTGTTCCAAAAGATGAAACTTTCAACAAAATAGTAGTAAATAATATTGAGTACCTCATTTTGAGCCTACTAGGTAAAGGAGGTAGCTCAGAAGTATACCAGTGTTTTTGTTTGGGAAAAAAGCTTCTGGTAGCCATAAAGAGTGTCAACTTGCAGGATGAAGCTTCAGCTGAGGGTTATATAAATGAAGTTAAGTTACTGCAACAACTACAGAACTGTGATAAAATCATAACAATGTATGATTTTGAGATAGTAGAGTCTCAGAAAAAGCTGTACATGGTCTTGGAAAGAGGTGGTGATGATTTGTCCACAATTTTAAAGAAACTGTCACTGCAAAGTTCCCACCTTCCATGGTTTACTCTCTTATTTTACTGGATGAATATGCTACATGCTGTACAGCAAATCCATAGCCATGGAGTGATACATTCAGACTTGAAACCAGCCAATTTCATCAATACAGACAATGGTCTCAAACTCATTGATTTCGGTATAGCCTCATCTGTGCAAAATGATGAAACAAGTGTGATAAAAACAAGATCTGAAGGTTCTTGTAACTACATCAGCCCTGAGGCTCTCAACTGTGACACCTCAGGTCCGAATTTCAGGCAGGGGAGGTACAAAGTTCATTTTAAATCTGACGTTTGGTCCCTAGGCTGTATTTTGTACCAGCTGGTGTATGGAAAAACACCTTTCCATCAGTTCACCACCCTTTGGTCCAAGCTGGCTTATATTCTGGATCCAAATCACAAAATCCAGTACCCTGATGCAGATGGGGTGCCTCCTAAATTTTTGAACACTATCAGGCATTGTCTGAGGTATGATGTGAAAGCTAGACCTTCTGTGGAACAGCTGATAGGGGAGTGTGAGCAGATTTTGCATAATCTTTAGTTTAAATTAGTTCTTTAATAATTCATTGTATATATTGTATAGTATTTTAACACACTTTTATTTTTCTGTAATATTCAAAATGTTTGTATTGGTGTCAAATATTTTTGTATATTATTAATTTACACATAAATTTTTTAAGACTTGATATTTTTAGTACTTATTATATTGAAGCAACTTCAAGAATTTCATTTTATATGCAGTAAACCACAGTTTCATTTGTACAAATATGTGGAATAAGTTCAATTTGCTATTCCTTTCAACTGAACCATAGCCTACTATGAAATGAGAGAAGTACTAGACAGGCTTGCTTTTCCTACATGGGTGGTTCTTTACCAAAATGAATTATGAATAAACATTCAATAGAACATGGAGTATTTTTAAGAGGTTCTGAAATGTTTAGAAAATAAGTGAATATTTCACACACCAAGTATTAGGCATACTCTGAGGTATGATGTGAAGGCTAAGCCTTCTATGAAAGAATTGATAGGGGAGTGTGAAAGATGTTGCATACAGGATCTATTTCACCATAAGGCCTGGTGGATAAAGAGGCCCCGAAAAGGGCTTTGAAAAAATATTTATAAACCACAATAAGGCGTTTCTGATGTAGGAAATTTAATGAAATTAAGGCTTTTATTGGATGCAAAAAAATGAAACTAATTTTCTGTAGCAAATGTTCATGAGGATTTACATGTTGATATTGATTTGAATATGCGTTCGACCTAGTTCTAGCCATCATCAATTTTTTTGAAAATTTCTTCAGTGTCACCTTCCTTTAAAATAATAATTCCTCACCTTGTTCGGTTTTACCCAGAAACAGATTTTTCTAATTTTTTGTTTTGTTAGATTTGTTTGAGTATTGATAAAATATATATTTCTTTTTATATTATCTACCTAATTCATGTTTTTGTCAAATATAATTCTTCCCAATTATTAAAACCATCCTATAAAAATGTTTATCAAACATTTTTGTTTTCATCATGAAACAACAAAAAACAGAAGGAGCCAAAGGTAAGCAGAAACATTCTTATTGGAAACAGAGATCAGAGATTATACACTCCCCAAAAAGTTCCTATTTGGATTCTTCGCCAATTTGAATTATGGATAAAAATTCAATGGAATTCTGTAAATGATAGGATCTAAAACGTTCACAAAATAAGAGCAAATATTTTACACACAGTCACACACCCATACCAAATCAATACAATATCAGTATTAAAAAGCTGAATTATTGCACGATTTTAGAGCCAAAGACTGTCAGAAACTATTTTATACAAAAAAAGTCAGAAATAAAAGAATATTTATTCTGGTTGCAATGTCCAACATCAAAAAATGGCCAGAGAACAAATGTAAAAATATAAAAATATGGTACCAGTACCGACACCTTGCGGTTGTATCCGCTACCCAGCCAACCATGAGATGTATAAGTGATGTATACGCCACATCACTTTGTGACATGCGATATCGCATTTGAAGTCACAAACATGTTACCGATACAACGTGGCGATGTGAAAATGTCCGACTCAAACAACATCACTGTGACGTCGTTCAGACATAAAATGCGACATCACATGAAAAATCACTACCAGGTCACATACAAGTGTACATTTCATATTACAAATATATCACACTGCGACATCGATGATGTGGTCGCCGTACCTGTGATATTCGTTGGATATATAATAATAATAATTATTCAACTTCACGAAGAAAATGTTTATTTTCCGAAAGTAAAAACAGATGATACAAAAATTATCATGACAATCACCCTAATTATAAGTAATCTTGAAGTAAAACATGACACATATATATATAGCAATACAAATATACATTATTCATAAATGATACATACCTAATACACTTATATTATCTTGGGATCTTTCATCCACCTTGTTTTAGATTGCAATATTCCTATCTCAGATATTTCAACAGAGAATTCGGAAGGAAATAGTCTGTACGGAAGCTGTACGGAGTCGGACTCACTCACAGACTGACTGACTGACTGACATGGTCATGCAATGCACAGCTCAACATGGCGTCTGGCGTGTGCGTTCGTTTTGCGCATGTCTGCGTCACACTCACAGGTCACAAAGATATCTCATGAGGATATCAATGTGAATTATTTAGTTAACGTCGAAGAGATGTAGTTTGAAGAAGTCGCTGCCACATTACATAGTTTCCTGGTTGCGATGTCACCTTGCGACGTTGATATCGAATCTACGTCGATAAGATGTGTTGACGAGATATTGCATTTTTGCAAGATTGTTACATCACACAGATGTTGATGTCACACGATGGTTGGCTGGGTAGTTTATCTTTTGGAAATGATCCACCCGGTAACAAGATTACTGTTCCTTGCACGTCTAATAATTGGTGGAGTTAGCGGGTGAGTGTCAAGAAGAGAATAATATAATTTCCAAATGATGCAAACATCGCATATATGCTTTTGGGTGTATGATGAATTGACATTCATCGTACAGGGCGTGGAAAGAAATTCTGAATTGAGACTCTATCACGAATCTGCGATTAGAAGTCTATAAAAATCACAAGTTTCCATCGTTCAAGTTTGAACCCCCTGATTGGGTATGAAAGTGTTGAAAAGGAATATTCTCAGATAAATTATGAACATACAAAAATGGATATATATTTATATAAAGCAATACATAAATATATATCCATTTTTGTATGTTCATAATTTATCTGAGAATATTCCTTTTCAACACAATCGCATATATGTTTCCAAGGGCCAGGAAAACAAATCAAATATTCCATAGGATACATAAATGATGAGGGAGTTTCAATGAGGTCTTGTTTCAACTATAATTCCCATTCAAATAATGCAACTTACGCTCACCCTCCTTGGAAGTGAAGAAATGAAACATCCTTTACAATGGAATATAATCGTTTATTTTCTTTCTTATCAAATTCTGTTCACTTAACAGTCATATAATATATTTAGAATTAGATACAAAATAATCACAATAATCTTGAAGCAAGACAAACATGTTGGATTTTTATGTTATGGAAGTCAAATAATTCAAAATCATTCAGTCATATTGTAATTTAACTTCAAACCAATTAAAAATTTGGTGAGATGCTGTAATTCTATTCAATTTTGATGATGAAAAACGGAAAAATGCAAAATCTAAGTTTTCAATCAGGAGCTGTATCAATATTCAGTAGTTACATATCTTTCATTTTTTGAGATTTTCATATACAGCATGTGAGGCTATTCTATACAAATATTCAATTACATTATGGGTACGTAATGTTATTACATGATGTAGTTTTACAAATTATGAAATTCAATATTTTCAATTCTTATATATAAACAACAGTAAAAAAGGAATAAAGTAACAATAATTAATGATTATATCAACAGAGTGATGAGATGAGAACTATGCTGTCTGAGTCTGAACTATCAAAATCTAAAATGGCAAATTGCTATATTTTATATCAGTTGTAACTTATTGATAAAGTTCTTTATAATACTTAATTATGATTTCTGGGGTTATTAATGTTATTTTTTGACAGATAGGTTGGTGTGGCTTACTTGCTATAAGGAATAATCAATGCCATATTGAAATAATAGAATAGGTACCTCAATAAAAAAGTATCACCAAATTAAAATTAAAAACTCACTATAAGTCAGTTTGAACAAACAATAATAATTATTGTTTATATTTTAACAAAAATAGTCACAATTAATATAATCATCTTTCAAAGAATCCATTAACAATTTTAAAGGCTTTTCTTAGTCTTTAGTGATTCCTTTCCATGATAAACAATTTTGGCCAAAATTGTTCTTGGAATGAAGAAGAGAGAAATGGAAATCTATGAATCCCTTCCATCTTTCTAAATTAAGGATACATCTGAATATTTGTTACTAAATAACACTGTTTTCAAATCGAAGTCGCAATTTTATTTAACCATCCCAAAGAATTCAACTGTTTCAAGGGATTTTGGTTGAGTGAAATTTGGAAACTATAGGAGACAAGTATCCCTCTAATTTTTTTTTATGTCAAGACAATTTCGACCAACACTGTTCACTACAAATTCCAATACAAATACAATTAAATTAAGAAGGAAATAAATATATACACTTTCACACATTGGAAACCGACTCACACCAAATTGTCCAAGCACTCCTGACCGTTCGTGCTCAGTCTTTCGCTCTGATCCGACCGAGTGTTATCCTCGTCTGATCTCCTCCTGGCAGGCAGTCTCAGTCTGAGCGAGTACCAAAATGCGTCGTCGCTCTTTCTCTCCCACAAAATCACCCCCACGGACCTATAATGAATAAAAATATAGAATAATCAAGTATTCGATGAGTATCAGTCATGTTTCTAGGATGTTTCAGCTATGTTTCTCGGATGTTTCAGCTATGTTTCTGGATTGTATCAGTTATGCATCTGATACATATCAGTTATGTATCCGATACATATTAGTAATGTATCTGGTACATAGTTGAAATAAGCAACGTACCTGGCTAGAGTCGTCAGGGTCTCTCCTTGGGCGTTCTTCGTTTCGTTTTCGCTTTTGGGTAGCTCTTTCAGAGACACGCATATCAAAGGGGGGCCGAGAGACTTGAGCTGATTGATCGCTTCAAGGAGGCTGGAAGACTGCCAATCGCCTTTGAACAGAGCGGGGGAGAGGACGGCTATGATGCGGCGGCACCTTAGTGCGTCATCTTTCAGGTCTGTGTACCCTAGAAACATGAAAAAAAAAATTAGAAAATTCGGCTATTCAGAAATGTAGAGGAATATACATAGAATGAATTTTTTTCATGACTTTATAGTTAGTATATGTACTTCGTTGGTATGTAAGTATGTACAGTCGTCTTCAGAGATCATGTGGCACATGGACGGTATCAGCTCCTTTGATCACCGCTGCATTAAGAGTGCTCATGCCGTTCCAACCGCGACATGTTCGTTGAAGACGAGTGTACATACCAACTGGCCATCGACCTCACGAGAGGCCCCTCAGCCCATGTGTGTTCTGTGTAGGCTTTGTTACTAACTCCATACGCCACCTTAGGAGCATCACTGTTAATTGGATCGCAACAGCAGAGGCTACGAAGATTAGAGTTTATAACTCGTTTTATGAACAAAAATTCTCTGCTCTGCCGGAGATCGAACCTAGCAACCTTTCGGTGTTCTGATTGCTAGTAGAGCGCTCAACCACTGCGCTATTGCCTTATTAACGTTATAATTTTTTTTTCGTTGTGTTCAAGATTGCCACCTTGAAATGACGTACCTAGGATGTTTGTTGGCACTGTAACAAATATTACGGAAGAATGAGAGTTTCACGTTGCAGAAATCAGAAGTTTTATCACCGTTCCCTATGTTTTTTGGGAAAAACAACGAATTTTTCTATTTTTTTGTTTCCTTCGTGTATAATTTCTGAAAGTATTTCTGGTAGCAAGAAACTGATTCATATTTTCAACAGTACACTGAATTTGTCATAATATAAGTTGAATCGCAGTTCGTTAGGTCCCATAATAATTCACGAAATACAGTATACTTCGAAAATTGGCCAATTTATGTATATGCGTGTTACTTGTCTTGGTTTGGTTTACTTTAAAAAAGGTGAGAGATTGAGCTGTTCGCTTCTTGGAATTATAGGCGATTCCATTGTTTTTTGCGAATATATCAGAACGCACTAGGGGATTTTCTTTGGAATATGATACATCTACATAATATTCTCGTTATTGTTTGAAGAGAAATCTCTTTGATTTAATAGTATTTCCTCATTGATCTAATATATTCAACAAAGAAAGATTTTATATCAAAGAGGAGGAAGGAGTGCCAACAATTGAATCTATACAGGGTGTATCTAAATACCACCGAAAAAAATCAAGGGGTGTTTCCTTGTTATATTCTAGCAAATAAAGTTCATATCAACATGTTTCCTAACTTGCTCCGTTTTTGAGATACAGGATGTTGAAGTTTGAAGTATCAATTGTTTTTATTTATAACCCCCCTGTATAAGCTTTCATGGTGCCAAAATTGGAAGGATGGAGACTGAGAAAGCCCCAAAATTTCAAAATGATTCTAATTGGGGTTATTGAGTAATCTCAATGGAAGTCTTGAAAACACCTACATTTAAATTTGGAGTCAAATCGAATTTTTATTGTTTCCTCAAAAATTAAGCTAGATACAAAAATCACACAGGAGATAAAAAAGTTGGTATTTCAATAGTTCAATCCAATAAAATTATGAAACCCAGGAAACCGGTGGCGTACAATTACATTCACAATGAATATCGATTAATTTACCCACTGTGATGCCACTGGAAATATTATTTCGAATCTAATTGCACTAGAAGAAGCTCCATATTACTATTAACAAAACCACAACGTTTTATTGAAATTGATGAAATGACAATTGAGAAATGAATAGAAAAAATATTTTTCATGGAAATATCAATACCCTGTATCTCTAAAACGAAAGTTAGGACCCCTGTTAATATAAACTTTATTTCCTAAAATATCACAAGCAATCAGCCCATAAATTTTTTCGGTGTCATTTAGATACACCCTGTATATTGATGATGATTGTAGGACCTATTCAATTAATAATCGTTTTCACTTTATTAAAATTGTAATGCAGTGGACTTGCGTCTCTTGATTTCATACAATTTCGGAGAAATTCAAGAACCAAAGATAATAATTCGAGTTATGGGCAAGGCTAATGGATGGGGAAGGATATTCCGCAGTGCAATTTAATCCGCATTTCTCGGAAAAGCTTTGTAATAATCCAGACTTGCAGATGTTTTATAATCATACGAATTTAGTGTTGCAGCTTTTGATCTTAATATGAATATCGTGCCTTTCTCTGATTTGTAGGTGTAATCATGGAAATGAAAGAAATTTTTCAACTTTTTCAGTTCCATGTATAAGTAAGTATTCATTGTATCTATATCATATGTTATTGTTGATTTTTCTAGAACTTAAATCTTGTATTCGGCTGATGATGGGCTTATATAAGCCCGAAGCATGTACCCCTATGTGATTGATCATCCAGGAATCCATTTGCTACAATTAATTAGGTCCCTTATTCTGTCTTCTTCATAGTATCTTTCTATCCCGAATTTCAACACCCTCTGGATCTAATGTTTGAGGAAGGAGTCGAATAGTATTTCATTTCATAACAACAATTGCACAAATCCAATAACTTCAAGAGACACAACGATAATTTAACTGATGCATGCCTTCCTTCGTTATTATTCATGTTACATAAACTTGATGTGTTCATTTCTGAAAAATCGAACTCTTCAAGTGTAACTTGATGATCAACGATCTGGTATCAAGCCCATTGAAGCTGGTGTTCCTCAGGGTGCAGTTCTATCGCCGCTGTTGTACAGTTTATATACTAGCGATTTGCCGAGACCAGTGATGTGCAAGATGTCGCTTTTTGCTGATGGTACGGCAGTTCTTGCATATTCGACAAATTTCGAGCAAGCAGCTATGAACCTCCAAAGCGCACTGAATTCTCTTCAGGAGTACTTCCTAAGATAGAAGATCAAATTGCATCCTACAAAAACACAATTGGTCGCACTCGGAAGGGAGCGGAGGCCTCCTAGAACCAGAATAGTCCTGGATGGTCATGAGTAAGAGTGGTCTTCACAAGTTAAATACTTAGGTGTGTGCATTGACAAAAAGCTCACCTGGGCCCATCACATTGAACAGCAAGTTTCAAAAGCTAAACAAGCCATTGGAGCCCTGTATCCATTTCTAAACAGACGAAGTAAATTGGGTTTGAGACAAAAATTAAATATTTATATCATCAATTTTACTGTATGCCTCAGTAGTCTGGGGTCACACAGCTAAATCTCATATCACCAGATTACAAACATTACAAAACAAAATCGCGAGAATGGTGACAGGATCTCCTTGGTATGTTCGGAATAACCAGATCGTCAGGGATCTGAAACTCCCCTCGATCGTGTCAGTCATTAGAGAACGAAACATCAAGACTTTCAAAAAAGCTGTGAGGTTCATGAGAATCAACTTCTTCGAAATGCAGTTGATTATGACCCAGGTGATCAATCAAAGTTCAAAAGACCGAGATTGTTTATAAACTAGAGAAAATATCGACATTATGACCAAATTTACTATTCTCAAGTTTTTGTTATTCATTTATTTCGTTCCATCTTTTTCAATTCTCAGAATGTATTTCTGAAACTTATTTGGAGCAGAAGGGCTGTTCGCATCAAACTTCAATACCGTTTTTTTATTTTGTTTCATAATAGATATCAAGATAAGAGGGACTCTTCCCTGGTCTGAATCAAATAAAAGAAAGATCCATTATATTACATAAACCCACATTAGTAGCGGGAAGGTTGAGAATGTCGTAGACCAATAAAAAAATAATTCAGAATGAAGCTCTACTTACACATGCCGACGTCTGACGTCACCACCTTCGCTGCGCACCTGTACCGGTACCGGCCGTCCAGAGCGGCCGCCAGCACGCCCAGAGCTAGGTCCGAGTCATCGGGCGCCGACAGCAGAAGGACGTCGTCGCGCTTGCCGTCGCGACGCTCGTCGGCCCCGAAGGCGTCCTTGAGGCGCACGCGCATCTCGAGGCCGTATTTGAGGTAGAGGAGGGCCAGAGTGGAGGTGGCTAGCAGGATGGCGGAGAGGAGGAGGGCGAGTTTGGCGAGGGGGACGGGGTTGGGGTTGAGGTACTCCACTTCGTCGACTGGAATCGAAAGAGAAATAGTTATTTTCCGTCGACCTCGTATTATACAGTGTGGTTATTTAAGTGTGCAACATATGGGAATCTTTTTAACGAATTGCACCACCAAAATATAGATAGTGCCGAAAGTTGGTGCATGTTCGGTTATCATTCAAGGTGCATTTAGAATGGTTGCAAATCAAACAGCATAACTCGCAGCATACAGGGTAGGTCGAAAAATATAAAAATTGCTCAAGAGTAAAGTACTATTATTTCAGAAAATTCAGCAAAATCTTATTGAGAATAGTTGTTTACAATTGACAGTTATGCCTGAATGCGAGAACATGGCATCCTAAGACATATTTTAGTTCCTATATTTTTTTCGTTAATAACTTCCCAATTTGTAATTTTTTTCATATTCACCCTAAACACTTCCATAAGTTAATCATGACAAATTCAGTAGAGCATACCTTTGTTCAAATTCAAGCATATTTGTGCAATTAACTTGGATTTTAATTTTTTCAGGGATTCACAAACTTTATGTTTGTTGTAACGATTTTCAGCTTTACTTTAAAAATTCGTGAACCATATTTTTAACAAGGTAAAACATCATTAGATGAAAAGTTGATGTCATCAAACTGTCCTAATGTTAACTGTCAACCCTCATTTGTTTCGTACCTTGGGTAAACATAAACATTTCAAATACGAAATGTTCACATTGAATGAAAGTTTTTGAATATGCATATTATCATTTAGGATGTTTTATCTTGTTGAAAATATGGTTTGCGAAATTTCAAAGTTAAGCTGAATATCGTTGCAACAAACATAAAGTTTATGATTCCCTAAAACAATTATATATGCTTGCATTTCAACAAAGGTATGATCAACTGATTTTGTTATGATTAACAGAGACTCTTTTTATGTTCGGTGATATGATTGCCGAAAAAACTGTGTACGCAACACGTTCAAAAACAATTTTTTTGGACTCGTCTACTGCTCCCTAGAATTTTGTCTACTCGTCCAAAAAAACCGGATTTTCCGGACTTGTTACGTAAATTACTATCAATTGATATCACATTCTGTTTACAGGAAAAATTACAATAAAAAATTGGTTCTTACCTTTTTCGGAAACGGTTACGTATCTATCGATGGTTTTGCCAGGTTTAGTGATTGTGCAAACGTAAGTGCCAAAATCTTCTCTTTTCACTTCGTCTATCGTCAGGTAAGTACCGAATATCTGACCGACCTCTCTGGAAATAAACAAGGAATATTCATCATGCTGAACATTTTGGGTCTTATTATGATAGTTTTATGAATATGGACCACTCCCCAGATTCCACAAATGGCCGAAGTTTTACACTAATAATAAAATATGTAGAAGCAGAAAGCAGTAGAAATTGTTAAAACTCCACAAACGAAAAGATTTCCTCAAAAAAATCATATCGTTTGTGAAGTTTTTACATTTGCCATGGATTTTCATAAAGTGACGGCCGAGGCAATTAAAAAAAAGAAGCAGTAGAAATTGATGAAAAATTTAAGTAACTCCAGTGATTTCGTAAGAATAGTGGAAAAAAAATGGACCGGTGAGCCGTGAGAGGGAGATGGAGAATAATTTCATTCACAGATTTACCTGAATATCTCAAAATCCTTGAAAGGTACTGCTCTATAATTTAATCAACATACAGGGAGATAGATATTTCACATTCTCTTTGATATATATCTCAATGACCTACAAAATTAATTATCTAACTATTTTGTAACTACAGTTTTCCAGATATGTAACAAAATTCATTTAGATGCTTCTCCATACTTGTTATGATGTCAGGATTACCTATTAAATTTTGCAAATTTCTAACTCATTGTGTGATGACCACAATATCTTTAAATTACATTCTTTTTTTCTCGCAAAACACTTTTTTAAACAAATAACTCAACAGAAATGAGGTGGAAGATTGCAAAACATGATAATCCTAACACATCATCATATTATACAAGAATGGAGAAGTACCAAAATTAATTATGTTATAGATATCTCGAAAATCAATAAAAAATATAAAATAACTACAGTTAGAATGAACTTAGATAATTGATTTTGTCATTCATTGAAATATCAAGAAGTTGTCAGTGCAGGTACTCCAAAAAAGTTGCTAAATACCTATTTCCATGTAAGTATATTGATTGAATTGATATAACATGTTTTTCATGCACATTTATGATAGTAAATTGCCCTAAGAATTTTAGAGCAGTACCCTCAAAGGATTTTTAAATATTCAAGAAAATCTGAAAATAAAACTATTCTTCAATGCCCTCATTGGTGCATTTTCATATAGAGGTTGAAGTTGACTCCAATCGACCTATTTTGGTCTCCAGTTCACCCTGTAGAATTAATGGTACGTTGTTCTGGGACACCCTGTATAATGACTAATTGATTAGATTCTTATGAGAAAAGTTTTTGAGGCGGTACGAATTTTTCAAGCAGATGTTGCTTATGATAATGTGCTTCCGATATTTGATAATATTTATTTCGATTATCGATATTCTTGTGTTATTACTGATAAGAAATCTATGGAAATTGACTGTGAAGTATTTTCCGCTTTTATAATGAGTGGAAATTCCTCGAAATTATCAATGCCAGCAGTCTTATCATTGAGAGAAAACGATATATGATATAATCAAAGACCACCAGTTGTACGCTTTCAAAACAATTTTTTACATTGTGACCATAAAGTGATTTTCAGTTGACTAATTTACTCTTGTTGTCTCAATCATGAAATAGTCATACGAATACAACTCGTGCATACTATTTTTCCTGTCGAATTTTTCCCGTCGAATTTTTCCCGTGTTCCAAGACTTCTCGCCTACGGCTCCAAAGTTTTGATAAACAATGTCATTCGCCAAATTGGCAAAATAGTACCACTGTTATGAATCATGAGGTTGAAAACAGTTGTGACATCTTTAAAAATGAAATTCTTGTTGTCATACCCGAAATTATAATAACAGAAACATGCAGTTGAAAAATAAAGTATTTATGTCAATTTTACATTGAAATTATAATCGAAGTTTCACACAACTAAACGAAAATCAGAAGCATTTCTCACCAGAAGGAATCATAGACTATTTTCTGAACATTGTTTGAACTTTGCTTTTTCCCCCTTGCCCGTGTGTAACCGATGCCTATGTTTCAAACAGCTAGGCAAATTTCAGAATTTGGGCTGTAGCATTGGCACGTAATGATTCCATGACAATAATAACTGTGTATATATTTTTCATGGTCATGAAATTCTTCACTTCTTAGGAAAATAACAAATGATTGCGTGATGAAATTTTACTCGAATCACCAACCGCAGAGATGCGCAATTGCAATTTATTTCACTATACGTTTCTTTGTCTTTTTAATTGTTAATGGAAATGCAGGTGCACCGCAAAATACGGAGGAGGAACAACTTTTATAGAAAAACCGTATGACTCACTTGTATAGTAGGTTTTTTCTTAACAAAATTAATTATTCAAACAGTTGATACGAGCGAATGTTTCAGAACGTGTGGGGTGTACGGAAATCCTAAAAATGAAGGTTATCGTATCTTTTACAAATTTACTCAGGTTACAGTTGTTTGTTCTGTAGAATCAATTCTTAAATACAAATCTCAGAATACGTTGCTCTAGGAAACCTTATATAATCAATAGTTTGGGAAAGCAAATCATCAATCTGAGATAATTTTGATAATTGATCAACATTTATAAAAAACATAAAACGCCTATTACACAAGTTTTATCAATTTTATTCATATCGTTTTCAACTTTTTTTTTCAATGACCTTACCAGATCACTGAAGTTACTCCAATTATTTTATCAATTTCTACTGCTTTCTGCTTCTACATATTTCATTATCACACGAGGGCTTTTTCTTTGTCGAAGTAATTTTGACATGTATCAATAAGAATTTTGTTGCCTGGCAATTTGACGAAAAAAACCGCATCTGGTGACGAAAAAAACCGCTTCTGGTAGTTTTTTGAGTTGAATTACCTAATGGCAACAAAATTTGAATTATAAATGGCAAGTTTACTTCGACTAACAAAAAAAGCTAGTGTAATTCGGTAAGTCAATTTAATTCATCAAACATTATTTGTTTATGGCTGGTTGTCATGCTTTCAAAAGTTAGGTTCCGTTATTCTCGCTGGAAAAGTTAGGACAAACTTTTTTCGCTGTCATAATGACAAAATCTCGCGGCTTGTGGGATTTTTCATACATGAACTAAATTGTCATCACGATTTGTTATAAGTACATTCATTCACATTCAAATTAACAATAAATACATCATTCAAGTTGTTGAACTTAGGAAGTAAACGTATATTCAATTTGGGAATGAACAACAGACAGTATTTAACAATCCCAAGTCATTATTACATTTTTTTTTTCATTCTCTCTTTTTGGATGTTCAACAGATATAATTCAATGTTCGACGTGGCAAATAGCCAGGTTTTCTGTCGAATATTCAGAATGATATTAAACTGGGCGTCAATTGAAACGTTAATAGTGAAATTTGTCATCAAGTTTGACTTCTCGTAATTTCTAAAATATTGAACGAATTTTGAACTGCTGCCCAGATTCTGAATACCTTTTTCATCGTCTTTCGAACCGTTCCTTACAACTTCTTTTAAATTGATCAGGAACCGTGATACAGGGTGAAACAATGTTTCTTGCATTTTGAAAAAAATTTGTCCGCCCTTCCCATTTTGTCGGAAGACCACGATGCTCATATTTTATTCAGGCATTTCATAAATAGCAACCATACATCGGGACGTTTTCGAGTTTTTGCCAAAAACTACTGTGGTTTCCGAAAAAACTTTTTTTTGCATTTTTTTAATTTTTTTATTGTCATGACTGACTTATTGAAAATGAGTTTGGGTATATCCTAATCGTCGTAACCTGAAATAATAATTATTTGTACTGAATTATAGTTTATATCACTATAGTGATCCCACCTTATTATATTTTCCATTTCGACCCGATTTGAACGAGGCATCTTTGAATTTTTTAGGACACTGACGTTTTCATGAAAATTGGCAATAATTGATATAACCCATATGCATACCTACATTTTTTCAACAATACGTTGTTATAGAAACAAGGTATCGTTGTTTGTTTTTGTTGATGAGATGTGTTGATTTACTGCTCACTAAGGTAGAAAACTTTTATGATAGACTGCGAAGTAATGAATTATTGATTGTTTTTGAGTAACCTGGTATACATATCTGCTTCAACGCTTTCCTGAAATGCATAAAAGCATCCATTTATGGAACTCCTCTAAAATTAGTCCATTTAAAAAAAATGCTAAAAAAAATTTTTTTTTCGGAAACCACAGTAGTTTTTGGCAAAAACTCGAAAACGTCCCGAGGTATGGTTGCTATTCATGAAATGCCCGAATAAAATATGAGCATCGTGGTCTTCCGACAAAATGGAGGGGCGGAGAAATTTTTTTCAAAATGCACGAAACTTTGTTTCACCCTGTATCACGGGTCCTGATCAATTTAGAAGAAGCTGTAAGGAACGGTTCGAAATACGATGAAAAGGCATTCAGAATCTGGGCGGCAATTCAAAATTCGTTCAATATTTTAGAAATTACGAGAAGTCGAACTCGATGCCAAATTTCACCATTAAACGTTTCAATTGACGCATATCTTTATATGAAGGATGAAGGAGAATGCAAATTCTCTACTTCAGAAGATTTTGTTTTCAAATTCTTTTTATGTGCGTGTTCAATAGATGTTCAATGTTCGTCGTGGCATATAGCTAGGAAAGTAGTTGTTTTCTGTTGAATAAACCGAGAAAGAATTGATATTTTCATCATAGAGAATGCGAATTTCTCGATGTATTTTTATATATATATATATCCATTTTTTTATGTTCATAATTATATCTGAGAATATTCCTATTCAAAAGAAACATTGTTTCGTATGAAAATCAAAATGTGAAAATTCGAGGTCACAATGACCAGTTTCCACTAAAAAATCGTTTCGTGTTCTTTGACATGTCGCTCGCTCTTGTCGAACTCGTTATAATAATTATCCACCGGGAGCCATTATGCATTAATGTGCTCGACGAAAAACAAAAAGAAATGGGAACGACTAGATAAAGACAATGCGACATGTCGACAGAAGACAACGAGAAGAACACCGAAGATACTACCGGAGGGAGTGGTTCAACTCGGCCACACTTTTGTGGTTTCAAAAAGGGACCTCCTCGTAGAAGT